GAACGAGTGCCGAACGAGTGCTGAACGAGTGCAGAATGAGTGCCGAATGAGTGCAGAACGATTGCTGAATGAGTGCAGGGCGAGTGCAGARMGAGTGCCGAATGAGTRCCGAATGAGTGCTGAATGAGTGCCAAACGAGTGCTGAACGAGTGCCGAACGAGTGCAGAACTAGTGCCGAACGAGTGCTGAACGAGTGCAGAACAAGTGCCGAACGAGTGCCGAACGAGTGCAGAACGAGTGCCGCACGAGTGCTGAATGAGTGCAGAACGAGTGCTGAATGAGTGCCCAACGAGTGCAGAACGAGTGCTGAATGAGTGCCCAACGAGTGCCGAACAAGTGCAAAACGAGTGCAAAACGAGTGCAAAACGAGTGCAGAATGAGTGCAGAACGAGTGCCGAAGGAGTGCAGAACGAGTGCTGAATGTGCACTCACAGCTCAGGGGCCACAGACACACAGCTCAGGGGCCCACATTGGGAGGGAGCAGGTATCTCAGGGGCACTACTGTTGTGTGTAAAACAACAAACATTGTTGTGTTTTACTTTGTCAGTTTGTTGTTTTCACAGCYTCAGAGGTATGATGTCATCTGTTTGTTCAGATGTTCAGATTCTTCTGTCAGATAATATTTATACATTCAGCTGAAAACAGCTAACAGACAATAAGTGCACATCTACACTAAACTATACAGACCTGATACCACAACACAACAGGGACAGTTGTGTTAGCACTCAGGWCGACACAAACACTGCAGCTTGAAGATAAAACCTGTGGCTGGTTGTATCATCAGCATGTTGGATGATTACTACTTCAYGGTGTTGGAGACAGTGTACAGGGTGAAGGGTTAGTGCTGAGTCAGCATCACGTCATCAAAGCAACATCACAGTTAAAGKTTGTATCATTTCAAACAAACCAACACTTATCCTGCTCCCACAGACGGCTGCACWGGTGTGGTCCAGAAACTGAACCGGGTCATTGAGAACCAGCAGCAGGAGCTACAGCTGCTGCAGCAGCTGCTGCTGCGCTCACCCTGAAGGTGAGTAAACAAACAAGATGGCTGCCTGTTTACAGCTCCACGTGTCGAACATGGACTGTTTTCTGACTGTGTGTTTCCAGGTGAGCAGGATGATGTCATCAGCCTGTCAACAGTCTGTCAGACCAATCAGACGACTCTGTAATCTGCACGGTTACACAACTCTGTGTAATCTGCACAGTCAGACAACTCTCTGTAATCTGCACGCTTAGACAACTCTCTGTAACCTGCACAGTTAGACAACTCTCTGTAATCTGCACAGTTAGACAACTCTCTGTAATCTGCACAGTTACACAACTCTCTGTAATCTGCACGGTTACACAACTCTGTGTAATCTGCACAGTCAGACAACTCTCTGTAATCTGCACAGTTAGACAACTCTCTGTAACCTGCACAGTTAGACAACTCTCTGTAATCTGCACAGTTAGACAACTCTCTGTAACCTGCACAGTTAGACAACTCTCTGTAATCTGCACGCTTAGACAACTCTCTGTAATCTGCACGCTTAGACAACTCTCTGTAATCTGCACGGTTAGACAACTCTCTGTAATCTGCACGGTTAGACAACTCTCTGTAATCTGCACGGTTAGAGAACTCTCTGTAATCTGCACAGTTAGACAACTCTCTGTAATCTGCACGGTTAGACAACTCTCTGTAATCTGCACAGTTAGACAACTCTCTGTAATCTGCACAGTTAGACAACTCTCTGTAATCTGCACAGTTAGACAACTCTCTGTAATCTGCACAGTTAGACAACTCTCTGTA